TCTAGTCCAAGGTGTCTTAGTTAAAAGACTGAGTTCAAGACCGAGTTTCACCAAGAACTCAGACCATGCACCTATCTCCCTATGTTCCTCATTTCACATTACTTCTACCTTCAGGTACATTCCCTTTTCCCAGTCTTCAGAGATGCTGCTCATCATGCTCATGCCTGCAAAGAAAGTGACTTTTCCTGGCCAAAAGCTGTCTATGAAAACAAATCCTGTATATTCTCAGCACTAATGAACACCATACAAAGAGTTACACTCCTTTAACTCAGGAAGTAGAGACTGTGCTGGCAAACAGCTTCCAAGTGTATTCTACCTTACAACATTCCTTCTTTGGCCTCCGCCTACCTTCTGATCTGATACAAGCCTTAGCTTTAGGAAAAAAAGTTCTTTTTGTTCATTAAGGAAGTGTAATTTCTTGAACTAAGACATGTAGCCTAGACTCAAGGAAACGGAGCATCTTCAAAGTTCAGCAACCTTCGTACTGGTTCTCACATCTTCCTCTCCTGGGGTCCCAGAGATATGCTTCTCTTACATCCTCCTCTAGACAAGGCCATTAGTTCATCACATCCAAACAGTGATTTTACAAATACCAACTATAGGACATCAATCACTTCTCTGAACAGGACATTTGAAATAGCAGCATTAGGCAAAGTAACAGGGGTGCTTTTTTCCACAAATTTTGTATTTTGCTGTTTAAAACATCCTCCCTTACAGAGATAAATTTTCTTCTGATATAGGTATTAAGATGAAATGGCCCTGATGATTCTAACAGCCAAGACAGCGTATTCTTACCTTCTGACATATAATCCAAGGGCCCTGTCTGCTTCTGACCTGGTGTTTCCATCTGGCCAAGATCCATAACCTGACATCCCCCTCTCATGCTGTGGCTACTAGATGGTGCCTGGCTAAAGAGTGTACCTACCTTTCACAGGGAAAGGACAGACAGGTTAGAGGCAGGGAAGATTCTATAAAGCTGTACCATAGCTAAATGAAGTTGTATGTTGTGGTTTGCCAGGTTATTTCCCTATTTTTTCTTTAATTCTAGATTAGAAACTTGCCAGTAGTGTACTTCAGACAGATTTGGTGGCTGTCTTTAGCCTACTTCTTTTTCAAACTGTTTCATTTATTTTCCTTTTCTCAGGGAGCAAATAATATGCTTTGTTAAGAGCTTTCCAACATGGGGAGTATTTGTGATGTGATCAGTCCTAGACCAACCCGTTAAATACAAGACAAACCCCTCTGTATTCCTCTGAGGAGGAACTCCCTAGTTGTCAACATTGCTTGAGAAAGAACAGAGGTATTTAAAGAAGACTCTGCAAGTTTTTCTCTTCAGACGCTTTTTTTTTTTCCCTTCCAGATGTCTGAGTTAAGACACGTCTGTTCTTTCTTAATGTGAACATTAACCACAATTTTAATTCATTTGTGAAACCTGAGATCTCTGCGTTATTTTTACCATGTGGTGGGAAGGCAGAAGTTCCAAGATTATCACATTAATCTCACCTGCCCCGTATCTAAGAATTCCAGCACCTATGACCTATTTAGATTGCATTGCCCTTAGAACGTGATGAATATTGTCCTCTTCCTAAACATCCTTCACGGTCAGAGGACAGAGGTACTGGGGGGGAGGGTGTTTGTGTTTTGGTTGTGGTTTGGTTATGTCTTCCCCCCCCCAGTATACTCATTTTTGCTAACTACAAGTATTCTAAGATTGGCCCTGCTGTTAAATAGGTTCAGTCTTTCTCAACAGAGTCAAAAAATTATCTTGATTCTAAAATACACGCCTCAATTACTGTGCTCTAATTACACCCAGCCATCTGAACTTAAAATCAGAACTGCTAAATTATTCTATCTTTAACTGCATGAAGAATTTGAATCTTACATGTTTTAATCTTCACTTATTAAAGAAAAAGGTTGCTTCACAAGGATTTAGAAACCTGTAATATACACTATTCATGACTGTCTCTTCCAGAGATTACAAAAATTAGAGTTGCTCATCAGCTACCTGAAGCTGTACTAATTATCATAGCTGTTCTTTACTAGCACCACAGTAAAACTTCAGAAGCATTTTAGCACAGGCCATCACAGAAAGTAGTTTGTGAACACCTTGTTGAGATGTGACCACTACCTGTTATATCTCAATGCCATCTGTACACACATGGCAGGTACACCTTCATGCACCTCCAACTGCATTACAGACTGGCAGGCTTCATTTGCCAAAAAGCTTAGCTATGTTTTTCCACTACTCATCTGTATACTCCACTCATTATTCAATGAAAGCAGTGCTATTTAGAAATGTTACACTTGAGGCAATAAACTGTGAATGTTTATATACTGCCATTAAGAAAATAAAACTCTACTTGCTAGCAGAAAGCTGTACTGATTTTAGCACTTAACCTAAGAAAAGGTCAACTAGCTCAAATTAACTATTAGGGTATAAGACCTACTGATTAGCTCAGGACATATGAATATTAAGATCATTTTCTTGGATATGAATGGCTTAAAACAAAAGCAAACCAAACTTCAGGTTAGTTTAACGTTAAGCAAAAATGTGAAGTGCCATTTATTACACCATTCCCACTCTAAGGTCACTTCTATGCAAATCCAAGCTGCCAACACCATACTAAATCCAATGGATTTAAGACCTTACAGATGCTTCTCAACTTGAAAATCAATCTCTCTGGAGTTAATACCATAATGAGTTGGGTTTTTTCCATCAGAGGCTGTGTTAATATTACAAGAAAATAGTGGAGCAAGGCACTACTAATGCTTGAAGCCACCTAAGCCTTGTTTTACCATCAAGTCTTCCAATGAGAGAAGTTACAACCAACTGTCCCTTTATATTCAGGCCTAGTCTTCTGTTAGCATGAAACTCACATCATATTTCATCATCTGCAAATTCTGACAGATATTAACAGCATATATGCCAGTTTTCGTCAAAGTCGCTTTTAAGCATCTCACTAACTCAAAAGCAAGTGTAAATAACTGCAGTTCTGTAACTGTAGATAACATAAATACAGGACAGTTTCATTAGACTAGTTTAAGGCAGTTATGCACTGGTAATTCCTGGTGAAAGACACAAGTGATTGTTACTGAATGTTTTTCTTCTGCTGTATCAACTGCTTAAGTATCAACTTAAACACATGTACAAAACTCAAATTCTGTTGAAAACTGTGGATTGGAAACAGGTCGGCTTGTCAAAACAACTACTCGTATTAGAAGAAAAAACATTTAATTGCAATATCCACAGGAAGCCTTTGACCACAATCTGAAACAGGAACAGTCCTTTAATAGCCACTTCAGCTTTCAAGATACAGGGACTAGATATTTTTATCTGTCATCTCAAATACTGTAATGTTAAAATCACCTTTGAATTGTAATAAAGATCTGCATAATGAAAAGATTACTTATAATTTCTTTTATGCTAGCTCTCACCAGCGCTTTGTAACACAGCTTTCTTCTAAAGTATGCTGACATTATTTCTTAAGAAAAGCACCGATTTACTAATGGGACATCTATAAATGTATCTTAGTCGAATTCCCAAGGAGGAAGTTTTTTAATCCCAAATTCATTTCACTTAGTAATAGTAGTTAGTCATTTTTAAATAACCATTATGAATGACAGAATTAGGTACATTCCTCATCCCACTAAAGAGAAAAAAAAATCTGAAAACTGTTACTTTAGATGGCAGAACAATACTGAAAGCACACTTGGAACCAGGAACTCAGGATCTGATATATTTCATTCCTGGCTTTCAGTTAATGACTTGTGTTCATGTAAAATCCCTTAAACTACTATGATTACTAACCCTTTAGTGTAAAAATAGATACTGAATTATCTATGAAGCATTTAAGACATTTTTAGATCTGAAGTATTTAACACTAAACAGTGTCAGATTACACTCAACATTCACTTGGCATTGAAGTGGACACACTGAACCTAGGAGTTAAAATGCACAACCTGGTTTAATCACTGCAGATAAGGAATCAGTCAATTGAAGTTGGATTTCAGATACTGCAAGTAATTTAAGTACAAGAAAGTCTGTTTTTACTTACCATTATCTTCTGTGCAATCAAATGACATAGACTATTCTACTGCCTGTGCAGCAGAACTAAGAGTGCACTTCCTAACTTTCTTAGTGCAAAGAAAATGAGGAATTAAGATTCCATGTCTTTTCTACACATTAGTGACCAAAGGAATTAGTGTCACACTAACCGTGCAAAGGGAACGCTCACCAATAATCAGCCAAATGAATCATTCTCAGACAATGGGGAATTAGATTTTTCACACTCCCAAGTTTTACCCAAATGACTATTTGAAGTGTTGGCTTTAGAGTGGACACCAAAAACTGCATGAACAATTATCTGAACTGAAATGTATTTTGCAATTCAAACTTTAAATATTCGACCTGCATCTAAGTACTATATTACTTAAGTGTTATGACTGCATTTTCTAGACTTCACAGATGATTTTCCTAGTTTTTTTTTTTAAAAAAACCTTCTACCAGGTACCTGGAAGTCTGACCATCTAAAGAAACTTTCACGAAGATAGCTTTAAATAAATCACATAACTCAATATATCCAGATGAGCTCAGCTGTGCAGCAGCTGCTCAGGAGTTAGCCATTTAAAAATATGTATTTTTTGCAAAAACTAGTAACCAGTTATATATGGGCAAGAAAAAGGTATAATTACATGAGACAATCACTGCTTTCCAAATTGCCAGTAAACTAACAAGTTAGTCCTAGTGGCACTTTTCACAAATATCTTCTTGTAATAATCAAGACAAAGGGGCATCAAAGCAGTCACTCTTTCATCCCATTGATTTTTAACGTAAGTTAAAAAGCACACTTGCAAGCTGTGACCAGATAACTGTGAAAATCAGGCTCCTGGAAAGATTTTAACATCAGAGCTTATAGGAAGCATTGTTTATTTGTACTAGATGGCTGTAAAGTGACAGTAACTTATTCTTTCTTCCCCCACTACCTGTATTAATGATCAAGGAGTCTTCAGCTCAACTTCCTCTCCTGTTGCCACATCCCATTTTCATCTGACAGAGCAAATGGCAAAGTACAGCCTGGTGTTTCCTATGCACAGCTAATTCAACTACTTAGCCCCGGACAAGAGATGCCATGTGCTAGAGTTAATTCAGCAAGACACTCCATAAAGACAGACGATTAAGTCCATACAGTCATAAAGCCAGGAATCAAGCTTCAGGGCATGAACACAGACTCAAGCTTGCACTTTACCCATTTTCATTATCTGAAAACTGTATTGATAATTTCATTGCCTTGTTGCCTACTTCAAAACTTGCTACTCCATTTTAAACAATTAATATTTTCTACTAATATCTCACTAACATGAGAGAATAACAGTCTTAATGTTGTGCAGTATATCAATTTAAACACACTCTTTTGTGAAAATGTTGTGTGTTTATTTATGTCCATGTTGCTTTTCAGATGTTGCCTTTCAGTTTTATTTCTCAAAAAAGAAAAAGCCTCCCCTCACTGGCGTATGGAAGCACTAAAATAATTGCTAGGCTGAACAGGAAAGTTAAGCCTCTGAAGAATTATCAAAGGCACAGGGGATAAAAAGTTGCAGCCATATATAATATTTCTATCCCAAAGTTGGGAATCCTGCCTTTAGAGGACACTACATTTATTTCAGACTACGTCATACCCCTCACCCCCAACAGGAACAGAATTAGTATTCCTTATTTTAGATTTTAAAGACAGTATTTACATAAGAGTTGTACAACGCAGAAATTCAAAAACTGGTCTTAGTATCTTATTGTAGTAACAGCCTTCCTCCAACAGTAAAAACACAAACTTAAGTTCTGGATCATAACAAATCTCCTCTTTAAAAACTGGAAAGAAAAAAAAAAAAGTACAGTTGCATGTCCTATATGAAACCTTTCAAACAAAAATGAGTATTAAAACAAGAGTATAATTTTAAAAGCTGTGTATTGGAGTGTTTATAAACCAGAAGTGTTAAGCAGCAGCGGTTTCCGGTTTCTTATTAAATTCAACTAGACTTGGAATTTAGAAACACGTTACAAACCAATGTGGAGCTATACTACTTACACACCTTTCCAGGTGTTTCAGTAAAGAAAGCCTCCTATGAGAATAAACAGAGGCAGCACATTATATTAAGTCAAAACTTGCCTTCAACATGCCATAAAGAACTGCATCATATATTCATTTATCACCAAAGCACCTCCTAAGAGATGCATTATTGCTGTAGAACATTTCAAGTTTACCAACACCCAAGTGCAACCAAACTGATGTATATATGCACTTGCCCATTCTCACCAGTATTTCCACTTAATGGTTTTTCCTTTAAACAATCAAATTTAAAGCTTTGAAAAATAACAATTTTTTGATTTTAGGTTTTTCTTTTTTTTTTTTTTTCACAATATTAATCACCACATGCAATTTAGTTTTCTGGTAATTTTTCTAAAAAACTGCACCAATATCAGAACAGTGCAAATCATATTTAATTGTAAAAGTTATAATGGCTTGAGTTCATAATTAGAGGGAACACTGTCAGGATATTGGTATTTTGCTCACTCACCATTGCTTGCATTCCATTAAAGACTTTCCTGTCAATTTCGCTTTTTTTTTTTTTCCTCTTAAAATAGTCATCCCCCATGCTTTTATCAGAGTTGAAATTAGGGATTTAATCCACAATTTCAACACACATAGCACCTCAGTTGCAATGTTTTCATGCACTTCCATCTACTGTTACAATTCCATAAACGTATTATCCCCTGCAATACGTTTCCAGACTAAGAACTAGTCATTAAGCACTTGTGATCCAACAAGTGTTTTAAGATTTTCAGCAATGGAGAGATTTCAAGATTAAGAAATCTGAGGACTTCCCCTCTCCTACAGCCCCCAGTGTTTCATTACATAGCAAATTCAAAATTGGTTTCCACATCTTGACAGTGTTCCTTATAAAACCGTATGACAGTAAAAGTGCCAGTAGGCATGGCAACCTCTTTGAAGGGAGCATTTAAACTCCTTGGCACTGGGAATGCCAGCACCAAGGATTACATTGAAATTCAAAGTTATACTTAAGGCTACAATTAGAAAACCCACTTTCCATAAGCCTAATTTCTCTAAGTAGATTTGAAAATTCAGAAGCTAATGCAACGTTAAGTTTTACGCTCGAATTTGAGGAAGAAATAAGAAATTTCTTTAGCAAGGGCAGTATATGAAACTCTGGTAGCAAATGTCTCTTAGGCATTGACTACTCATTTCACCATCGTTCACTTACTTTGTCTTAAAGTTCAAAACTGGCAAGGCACATTTACATATTCCAATGAATACTTGACAATTTTTAATTACACTTTATGTCCCAGCTATCCCAGTAATTGACATACAACATACTAAAATGGTTTATTAAGATAACAAAAAAAAAAAAAATCAATTAATGTGAAAACATACAGGCTATTGGCAACCACTATTCTAAAAATTATGTAAATACAAGTAAACATACTGAAATGTGTGCGATTCTAAGTTTTTAACCAGAAGATCTCTGTACTAACACACATTTATATTAATGACACATAAAAAAAATAAAAACTTTATTACAAAAATAAGTTACACTCGCCTCCAGCTTACAGTATAAAACAATTTTATTTGCAGGAATGCAAAATGATTGTTTGCCATGAGCATTTTCAACATATGACATGTCTAATTTTGTTAAAATTTGCATTTACTGGGGGAACTGGTGTGTATAAAACCTTAATTAGGTATAAGCTTCAATTTTCATTGTGGTGCCTATGGGTATGTAGTATAACTGCAGTATCCCTTTGTGAAGGGGGTTAAGGGAACTCTTTATGCCAAGTCCAAAGTAAGTCATAATTTTATCTATCTTTTACCTATATGAAACTGGACTTGGCAAGGTTCTGTTTTTATTTTGTCTTTTTTTAAGGGTGGTTCAATAGAGGATGCTTCACCACTGAACACTCACTGTCATCAAGGTGCTTTAGAAAATTAAAAACATAGCACAAATGATTGTACTCTACTCTACAGGTTATCATGATCTGCATAAGAGAAATGGAAAGCTGATCCACATGTTTTTACAGTGATCAGCAATAAGAAATGCACTAATGAAAACATACCTTTTACCTAAAAAGCTAAACTACAGCCATATACTATTCTATGATTTATGAAAAACTTCAAAATATCCAAATGTCAGGCTTCACTGTACAGTTGTCAGTTTTAGTCTGACCTTTTATAAAGGGACACTGCAGTATTTAGTACAAGTTGCTGATGCACTTTTTTTGAACATCTGATGTCTTACAAAAGTAACATCTTGCTAAACTATTATACATCCAAATAACTACAATATCTGAAGAAGCAAGGCTGCTTTTTCAGCCACAAAATACGACAAAAGCAAGGCCTGTTATGATGGTCATGAGGAAGTCTTACAAAGCCTCTGGAACTAAAGGCAACTAAGAATGTTACATTTGGTATATTATAATCTTACCCTCATATCATATTAAACAAGCCTTGCTTTTATCTACAAAGATTTTCTATGTACAGTACAGACAGGGTATAGTTCAATCCTCTGCTACTGAGGTAGTTAACCAACCCTTTAAAAAAGGTTCTGAAAAGAACCACTATCTGGAATGCCTGACTAACCAGCTCTGATGATTACACCTGAAACTGCTGTATCTGAACACAATTCGTAAGTGATTACTAAATAGACAATCATGATTAACCTTCATGAGCAGAAATAAAATTTAAGGATACCAATGATGGTATTCATCTATAGCACTGCAATAAAAATTAAAATGCAAGAATTTGTGAATACCACTTTTGGAATCCTTAACTAAGAAAACTTGGGGGAAAAATCTACTTAAAGCAGATTTTTTAAAGAACAACTTTATTCTTTATTAAGATACCATGCTAGACGTTAAGGATTTTGTTGAACACGTTGGGGAAATAGAGTAGCTTTAGTTTAATAACTTGCACTGCAGAGAAAACTGTTAAAGAAATCCATTTCAAAGTCCAAGTATTAGTTCAAATGTCCCATATTTGAATCCATGATCTTCGCAGGAAGGTCTTTTGCAACAGAATATGCTCCTATACAGCTGAGATACTTAAGGTTGCTTGATATCCTTACCATTACTCCACTGCAAGCTTCTGGTGTAATCCCA